TGTGTTATACCTCTGAGGATGCCAGTCACAGCTGCTGGCGAAACATCAGGTCCTACAATGCCAAGACCACAGCCATACAGCCCAGAAAAACTACAACAACTAATGACCTCCGGCCGTAAAAGCCCTCGACAACACATTGGCCTGGAGGAAAACTGCTTCCTGACCCCAGACTGGCAATCAGCATTCCCCTGGGCATGTAAGAAAGGGCCACAAGAACTAAGCACTGAGGCAGCCCTTCCTGCCCTCCCTCTCATTATCTGCCTCAGTTCACACAATCAGCATTGCAGTCAGATGGCCATCTAGCCTCTGATTTGATTTGATTTATTTAATATGTATCCCACCCTCCTGGCCGAGGCCGGCTCAGTGCGGCTTACAGAACAATTTTTCTCCAGGCCAATATGTTGTCGAAGGCTTTCACCATCTTCGTTGCTCTTCGTTGTCTGAAAATCTCCAAAGAAGGAAAGCCCACCACCTCCTGAGAAAGCCTGTTCCACTGAGGAACAGTGTTCCCTCTGAGCCGAGTTAGTGTGAGTTAGTTCACAGTTTTTTAGTCTCCGGCTCACACATTTTTGTCTTAGCTCAGGAAGGAGGGCTCCAGAGCAATCTAGTTTATGCAGTAGCCAAATCGTTCGCTCATGACTTTAATGCCAGGAGCTCACAAAGTAGAATTTTTGCTCACAAGATGCCACAGTTTAGGGGGAGCAACAGTGGTGCTTGGGGGGGCAACAGTGGGAGGCCTTCTGGAGTTCTGGCCCCACTGCTGGAGCTCCTGAGGACAACTGGTATTTTTGGCCACTGTGTGACACAGAGAGTTGGAATGGATGGGCCATTAGCCTGATCCAACATTGGCTTCTCTCATGTTCTTCTGAGCACTGGTTGTGGCGCCTGGCTGCTAGAACTGAAAGCTGGCCAAAGGGGGAAGCTAGAAGCTGCAGCCTGCTGCTGCAATGGCCACACTGACCAGGCGAGAAGCAGAGGACCACCCCTGTTGATACAGCCTAGAATTGCATTTGCCTTTTTAGCTACCACATTACACTGCTGACTCATGTTCAGTGTATGGTCTACTAAGACCCATAGATCCTTTTTGCCCACACTACTGCCAAGACAAGTCTCCCCCATCCTATAATTATGCATTTGATTTTTCCTACCTAAATGCAGACATTTACATTTATCTCCACTTAAATTCATTTTATTTGTTTTCGCCCAGTTTTGTAGCCTGTAAAGATCATCCTGTATTCACAAGCACTCTTTGGGTGCAATCCGTCAACCAGTTACAGATCCACCTAACAGTCATAGGCTCCAAACCACATTTTACCAATTTGTCAACAAGAGTATTATGCGGAACCTTATCAAAAGCCTTACTGAAATCAAGATAAACTATGCCTACAGTATTCCCCTGATCCAGCAAGGTAGTAACATTCTCAAAAAAAAAAAGAGATAAGGTTAGTCTAACATGACTTGTTCTTGAGAAACCCATGCTGGCTCTTAGTAATCTCAGCTGTCCTTTCTAAATGCTCAAGGACTGTCTGTTTGATTATTTGTTCTATGATTTTCCCAGGTATCAAAGTCAAGCTAATGGGTTGGTAGTTACCCCAATCCTCTTTTTTTCCCCTTCTTGAAGATGGGGACAATATTTGCCTGCCTCCAATCTTCTGGCAGCTCATCTGTTCTCCAAGAATTCTCAAAAATAATGGACAGAGTCTCAGAAATTACACCTGTGAGTTCTTTTAGTACCCTTGGATGCAGTTCATCTGGCCCCCGTGGACTTCGTTTCATTTAAAGTAACTTGGTGTTTATGTACCACCCCTATGCT